ACAGCGACATAGGACGCTGGCCGCAGCTACTCGTGCGTGCACTGATGACAAGGAAATCGGCGACCGCATTCCGGACTCCCGCCGTGCCGCGCCTCGAAGGAAGGTGTCGAGTGGCATGTACGTTCGTGCTCTTTGAATTTTGCATATGCATATCATTGTGGGAGCGATGAGAGGTATCGAGCGACGCTTCAGCAAGTGTCAGCAATGTGGAGGTCGCTTGCCCCCGAATTGATGCCGAACGCGGCTTGCTTCTATACATCGTCTCGCTAGCCTCCAACCCCGTTTTCATCGTCTCTGACAGACAGAAGCTACTCGAGTGGTCGAATTCAACAGACTGAGCGAGAATGACTCGGAGCTGACGGGCATCGACGGAGTAGAGACTTGCGCTGACCGGGACAATCCTCCAAGGTCGGTGTCGCAACATGTCTCCCTCGTCATGATCATTTGTCCTACCATGCATGTGCATGCCTTCTCCGGCTCTACGCTCGGAAGCGTGTCCGCTCGCTTCTGCAACACCCGGGACAACCCCAGCGTCGCGAGCCTCGACCATTACCGCCGCCGTCGGACTGCCGTTTGTCGGTGCGTTGTTTCAAACTTCTCGAACGTAGCGTACATCCGATTGATATTGTTCTAGAACGCGTCTTCGTATACGCTTTGTGTGATTCCAAGCACCGCCTTGGGGTCGTAGCCACTCAGAGTATGCGGACAAGTCTGGCAAGTTCGACAAGGCGGCGGAGCAAGACGGAGTGAAGGTGTTGATCAACAGTAAGGCACCGTTGTCGATCATTGGCAGCGAGATGGACTGGCTTGAGGTACGTTCACCATCGTAGTTCATTCCCAGGTCCTGCTAATGAAAGGCTTTTCCCGCAGTGCCAAATCCGTGTTCAGAAACCCTAGCATCAAGGACACTTGCGGTTATGGAGAGTCGTTCACCGTCAGCTAGTGGTACCTCACAACTAGATCTGCGACTGCCCTGGGCACGTATGATCATATCTTATTCTCTCCAACCGCTTATGTGCAACCCCCAGTACATCACTAATACCTATCGTACTCAGACCGTGTATCCATAGTCGCAATATGAGTAGACGTGCTTCCCTCAATTCTCTTCCGACGCCCGATGGGTACGTTGTCCTCCTTGGATGGAGTTGTCCACATGAGTGCTGTACTCGTACGTATTGCTAGTGTCCTGCGCATAGACGTGCCGTCGCCCGGTACGCCGGAAACAAATATGTAAGACGTGACCAGGAACACCAAGACAGAACTTTTACACAGAGCACTAGGAGCACTAGAAGTGCGCTTCTCGGCATCCATTCAAACACGCCTTCGAGCCGGCGCCGCTTTGTAAGTATCCCAGCAAGACTGCGTTTGCCGATCCCTCCCTGACCACGTCCCTATTCCAGTGCCTTGAATATTGCACAGTAGCAGGCAACTCCTCCTCCGAGATTCCGAAACATACATCGCGTGGATCAAGAGGCCGGAGATGTTCTTCGTCGCCACCACGCCCCTCAGTGCCGACCAGCACATCAATGTCTCGCCTCGCCTAAGTGTGTCTGTGACTCGTTCCAGAACAGGGTGTGGTACGAGGATCTCAGTGGGAGCGGTATGTTGCCTCCGTCCCGTTCCGGGGACACCTTAGTCTGATGCGAACTACCACAGGCACCGAGACGATCTTGCACCTGTAGGAGAACGAACGGATGGTGATCATGTTCTGCGCGTTGGAGGGTGCGGCGCACGTCATGCGCATCTGGGGGACAGGCAGGGTGTTTGAGTTTGGCATGCCGGAGTCATTCCCTCGGAGAAACGTCTGACAGGGTCGCGTGCGGCGATCATTTGCCTGAACAGTCCCTTGTGTCCGCACACACACTAAGACGCGAGTCACCTTGCTGTGTGATGACCAAGTCCTGTGGGTATGCTGTACCATTTTACACCGTCATGACCCACCGGTCAGCTCTCCTCACCTGGTCCAACACAAGGTGGAGGACAGTGCAGCAGAAAGATGTCGCTTGGTTGCGAGAAGCCCATCCCTGAAATTGGTACATCTCACACCACAGCTTCTCTGTTTCATGTCTCCCCAGCGAAACCCAATGCTGGTCCCGAGATTGTCAAGCATGCAGAAAGCGAGAGGACATGATAGTATAAATGCCCCCGATATGCCCACTCATCCTAAAGTCATCAGTCCCATCTACGCTGTTGTTCATGTTATCAGCAGGTCAGCCCTTCATCTATGCCACAAATGCGGGTCATGTCCGGGGACGGCTCCGGACTACGCTCAATAAAGCTCTCCGTTAGTCCAACTTCCCTTTCTGTAGATCACATTCCCTGAGAATCCCACAGAACAGGTAACCGGTGACAAGCGTGCCAAGATGCGCTACACACCCGAGGCATTCCGGAAGCATGTCTTCCTTCGCTACAATGTGAAGCTTGCTGGATGGCCGGAGAACATCCCCTTCCGTAATCTTAGCAGTCGAGA